AGTCCCTGGGGCGCGAAGCCTCTGATTTTCCTTTATGATTCTCCAATTGCAGTTTTATCTATCTTAAGCCACCCACAGGAGTATGAGGTGGTCCTGGCCCCCTGGCAGTTCCCCATCACGGAGTGGCGTGCTTGCGTGTAAAACAGGCTCCATAACACTTGCAGGTTTTATGATTAAACGCCAGGGTCTTAGTGAGCTCCATGCTCTGAAACTGGAATAGAGTCTGCAGAAGGACAGGTGATGGAATCCCCAGAGAGCAGCCTGGAAGCTGACTGTCCCAACGAGGTGCCAGGAAGTCTGAGGGAATCCATCCTTTTAGAGGTGCTGAGTGGAAGCGGGGGCCATAAGCAGAGTTCCCTGCGGTAAGGAGGGACCTCTCTGTTACTTTTTTCATTTACATAAATGCCCAACAAAAGCCACACAAGGAAAGAAGGGCCTGCTGAGGCTCATGGTTTGAGGGTCTGGTCCATCATGGCCACGAAGACATGGGTGTACTGACTTGTTTCTAACAATGGGAAATGGTGGACGGCATGTTGTGCGGATTCTGGATCCATGAATTCACAGGCAGACAGAGAAACAGACTTGAGGTCAGAGAGTGGCAGAGCCATACGCGTTCCAGCCCCGTGTGGTGCTCACTGAATGACCACCCCAGGTCACCATGCTAGCAGTGCCCAGCAGTTATTTGGGGGTGGTGCACGTGTCCTAGCGTAAACCACACTCCAACGTCAGAGCTCCCGTGCGACTTTCTGTCTATGGGGGCAAGAACTCACCATTTTGTCTTAAACCACCGTCTCTGTTAAGCATGCTAAAGAGGCATTGTGGGGGCTGTGGGTGGGCTGGAGCTCTCTGCAGGACGCTGTGACTAGGTCCTCAGGAAGAATGGCAGGTACTGGCCTGTTTCTAGGCTGTGGCTAAGGGGGTGGAGACTGTGGAGGGGATGAGGCGGTGGTGGGATGGTGGAAGGGCTGCAGCTTGATCCTGAGGTAGCTACGAGGGACTGTCCAGCTCGAGGCGAGGGCACAGTTGAGTAGAGGGGCAGAACGGCTTTCCTCTCTGTTGTATAAGCATGATTCAGCTGGTTCTGGAACTCACCAAGTACGAGGAAACATTAACCTAGCCAGGACTGTGACCTTGGGAAGTCAAGATGAGCAGGGTAAGTGACCCAAACTTTGTTTGGTTTTGTGGAAGCAGGGTCTTACCATGTACGTCCAGGCTAGCCTGGACCTGGAGACTAATCTCTTAGCTCAGCTTTCTGGGAATGGGATTGCAGGTGTGTGTCACCAAGCCTAGCTACAAACTTTCTTTCTGGGGGCAGCGTTCTCCTCTCTTGGGACCTCGCATCCCACCTTGTGAGCCACAGCTAACACCCCACTTTTTGGAACCTTTCTCCAGAGGTCACAGTGGTCCACTGCATTTCCACTTGGAAGAGCCCACCATGTCTTTGACATAGAGTGTAAAATGGGTGTTGTCCTCAGGCCTCGCTGTAACACTAACCTCTGCCTTGAACCACAGCCCACGTGACCACCTGAAAACACAACATCTCTCTTTTTAAAGAGATGAGGTATGTTCAGAAAGTTCGAGGTCTTTCTTACGCCATATCTCTGCAATAGTGGGCGGAGCCTGTGGGCCACGCTCGGTCAAATCTCAGTGTTTTTCTGAACATCCCAGTGCCCAAGAAAGCAGGAGGCCTGCAGATGACCCCTGATGCTGACACAGAGAGGGGCAGGTGCTCCTCCCCCACCCAGGGGTACACAGCAGGGGTCAGAGGAGAGAGGATCACTGCTAAGAGAGAGGTTTGGATCACAGGTTGGGTGGGGCTGCAATAAACTTATCAAGAAGAAATGGGGACATCCCAGCCAGGAGAGCAGAGAGGAAGGTTCAGGGTGCATGCAGGGAGGGGCGGGCTCATCTGTGAAGTTTGAAATCCAGGTCACCAGGCAGCAGTAGAGGAGCTGGAAAGGTCAGGGGTCACTGGCAACAGTGTCCCTGGACCCTGTGTCCCAGTGGTCATAACACTTATGATTTTGTAAGATAGTTCATAAACCATCTTGGTAACTAACATTCGATTCTCAATTGCTTTTTCTTTAAAAAAAAAATATATTCAAGCCGGGCGGTGGTAGTGCACGCCTTTAATCCCAGCACTCGGGAGGCAGAGGCAGGCGGATCTCTGGGAGTTCGAGGCCAGCCTGGTCTACAAGAGCTAGTTCCGGGATGGGCACCAAAGCTACCGAGAAACCTGTCTCGAAATATATATATATATATGTATATATATATATACACATATATATATACATATATATATATACACAAAGGATATAATTTAGACTTTAAAAAAGGAGGAAAACTGGTCCAGTGATGACATGGATGAGTCTTGAGCTTGTTATCCTGAATGAGGTTAAGTCATATTAACTAAAATACACTGGAATAAGCCAGAATCAGAGGGACCTAACGATTCACATAGGCGAGGCCCCTTGAGCACTCAGAGTGACAGGAAGGGAGTTTGTGGAGCCTGGACTGGGGAGGCTTGGGTTTAAAGTGGATGGTTTCAACCCTGAAAATTGAAAAACCTTGGTGATGGGCAGAGCAGGTGATGGGGCAGGAGGATGAGGGGTGAGTGAAGGGATGATGGGTGGCAGGGACCACTATGTAACAGTGAACTCACTGAATATGGCAGAACGGGAGGTTTGGAAATGACTAATGTGGTGGAGGCAGGAGGATTAGAGTTTCAAGGTCACCTTGGTTTCCTAGGGAGCCTGGGCTACATGAGATGCTGTCTCATAAAACAACAAAAACTGAAAAGATGGTTTTCACCAACCATCACCTTAATATCATAACCCGACCATTTGGGATTTAAAAAGAAAAAGCATCAAAGATCCATTTGACCTTGTGTCCCCACCCCTGGAGCAGAAACAGTGATAAAATCCTGCAGGAGCAGAGGCAGGAGCCTGGCACGCCGAGACAAGATGTAGCACTAGACCGGGAGCCCAGGATGGTAGCCCACCCCAGAGCTGGGGCAGAGCTGTGGTCTCTGGTCCCCAAAGCCCTGAGGAGCAGGAGTTTAGAGCATTCGTAGATCCCAGAGGACAGCATGTGGGGTGGCCACAGCCAAGTGACACAGCAGCCTCAGGGGACCCAGGGACACCCCAGCCCCTTCTGCTCTGCTATAGGATGAGTTCAAGGCTTGATCCTCAGACTGGCGGCACTGGGAAGCGGTGGAACCTTTGTGTGGCCGACTCTGGGGAAGGTCTAGAGACAATGGCTCAAGGGGACTGTGGGACCCTGGTACCCGCCCTTCCTTCTGCTCCCTGCCCCACGAGTAAGCTCTTAGCTCTCCTGCGCCCCTGCCATGCTGTGATGCCTCATCCAAAGCCCATACAAGGGGCCAAGTGATCACGGACTGAAACTTCCAAAGAAGTGAGCTGAAACAAGCCTTTCTCTTCCTCAGTCAGTGACTTCGCTACCTCGATGGAGGCCTGCCAATACACCTTCCTCCCTCTCTCCTCTGACAAGCCAGAACTTTCTGTTGGACTCAACTGCAGGCACAGGCCTGGCAGGTCAGTCTCCTGGCACATGCCCAGGGAAGGCTAGGAGTGGACATAGCACAGAGGTTGCATGAGGGTCAGGAGGGAGCCCAATCTTAGTGGCACAGTGGAAGAGGCTCGCGTGATGATATAGTGACAGGCACGTGGTAGAGTTAAGGAGACGATGACAGCAGGGAGCCAGTCTCATGCATGGACACTTCAGGATGAGAGGCAGACAGAGGACATGGTGCAGGCAGACCTAGACATGCACCTGGCATGTGGCTCTGTGGTACAGCATTTACCTGGCACATGATGTCCTGGGAAGCTCATTCAGTCACTCGTCCTTGTACCCAGGGATTCCCAATGGCTGAGTGAGCTAGAAGCCACCTGCTAGGCAAAGGAGACCCGGCAGCATAGTCAGCTGAGGTCTGCGGTGTACGGTATGGGGGCAGAGGGAGTGTCGCGACTGTGTGCAAATAGGTGTGTGAGGCCAGCAGGAGGGTTGGGGGATAGAGTGGCTGCCTGAGGGCTGGCTGGGGGTTCCTCTGGAACCTCAGAGATGGAATTGCATTCCACTGATGGACAGAGCCAGTGCAGAGGCTGGGCGCTTTTGAAGTGTCTGCCCTGGGAGGGGAAGGTAAAGAGATGGCAAGTGAGAAGGGGAATGGACTTAAGGAGGGGATGTAGAGTCTCAAAGCCACAGGGAAAGACCCAATGGAGAGGGGAAATTTGGCTGTACAAGAAAAGAGAGAATTTTCTGTCTCTGCAGCTCCTGAGAAGGATGGGGTGGGGATGAGGTGAGGTTGGGGAGCCATCAACAGACAGATTGGGGAGGAGTCTTCCTGACACCTTAACTAGGCGAGCAGGAGAGAGGGGAGGGAGAGCAAAGATATGTGTGGGTGTGGGTAGAAGAATAAATAAATGGAGAGCTTTAAAGAAGGAGATGATAGATAGATAGATAGATAGATAGATAGATAGATAGATAGATAGATGATAGATAGATGGAAGATAGATAGATAGATAATAGATAGGTAAGTCCATAGACATATGAACAGACAACTAAATAGGAGAAACACCCTAGTTTGCTTTCTATTACTGTGGTAAACACCATGACCAAAAGCAACTTGGGGGGAAAAGGGTTACTTATCCCAATCACAGCCCATCATAAAGGGAAGTCAGAGTAGGAACTCAAGGCAGGAACTGAGGCAGAAGCCATGGGAACATTGCTTATTGGCATATTCCCCATGACTTACTCAGCTATATTCTTATATAACCCTGGGCCACCTACCCAGGGCTAGCACTGTCTGCAGTGGGCTCTACCCTCACACATCAGTCAGGCCAATATGATGGGGGCATTTTTCAACTGAGGGTCCTGTTCCCAGATGACTCTAGCTTGTGTAAAATCGACAAAAACAAAACAAAAACAAAAAAATAGAACAGGAATAAAGGGCTGGAGGAAGGAAGGAGGGAGGGAAGAGAAGGGAGGAAGGAGGGAGAAAGGAAAGAAAGAAGGAAGAAAAGGAAGGAAAGAGGGAGGGAGGAAGGAAGAGAAGGGAGAAAGGAGGGAGGGAGGAAGGAAGGTAGGACAGAAGAAGGAAGGAAGGGAAGAAGGAAGGAAGAGAAAGGAAGGAGTGTATGTGTATGTAGGGATGGGTAGAAGGGAGGAAAGGCTGGAGAACAAGTGTAAGAATGGATGTATAGATGAGTGAATTCATAGATGGACAGATGGATGGACTAGATGGATGGAAGGAAAGAAGGGCAGGAGGAGATGAGGAGGAGAGATGGTATCTTAGCTAAGGCTTCTATTCCTGTGAAGAGACACCATGACCACAGCAACTCTTATAAAGGAAAAACATGTAATTGAGGTGGCTTACGTTTTCAGAGGTTCAGTTCACAATCATCATGGTGGGACGTGGCAGCCATAGCCAGTACAAGGTCCTCTTGGACAGTGCAGAGGCCACTCAGCCATCTCTGTTTGGACTCTTGTCAGATGTGTGGCGTTAGTGTCCTCTGTGGGTGTCATTGTCCTGACCACTGCAGCTCCTCCACAGGCACCATCTGCCTCCGTTTTGAGTCCCATGAGGTATTAACATATTTATTTGTATGTGAGGTGGTGGCGGTGTTGACATTTGCACCCCAACAGCCCAAATGCTTCCCCGTGTCTCCCTGGAAACCTTTCTCCTCTATAGTCCATCTTTGCCAGCAGTTCTGAGAATGTCCCTTCTAGGAGGAAGCATTTGAGAATGCCAACGCTGCAAATTCCCTAGCTCCCTCACTCCAAAGGCAAGTGGCGGAGGCACAGAATATTGCAGTAGGCAGCCCATTGCCTGGAAGGGCACTGTCCTGGAGAATCAGGCCCCGGGATAGATTAGAGCAGGGAAACTAGCTACTAAGATGGGCGGATTCCTGTGTTACCTCACTCACTCTCGCCTCTCAGGCAGACGGCTTTTCAGTCTTTGACGCCTCAGCAAAGGGAGCTCAGAGGAGAACAAAGGCATCCAAGGAGACATGCACAGTGAGAGTTGCCATGTGTCCTGTGGCTATTTGTTAGCTGCCTGACTCATGATTCTCCCTCCGGTAGCAGAGCCCAGAAAGGGAGGTTTGTTAGCTCACCTCAGTCTCCATAACACCAATGCCCTGCCTGCAGTGAGATGAATTCATTCATTCTATAGATAGATTCATGACCCCACACAGCCCCCGGGGTCCCAGCCACTTGAAATGTTCCCAATTGCACATAGCTATTGAGGGCTGGCAGGCAGGATCCAGTTAGGCAAGGGCAGGACAACCCACCCCAGTAGGCTCTGCTGGCTTGGGAAGCTGGGACAAGGGAGGGAGGGAGAGGGGCAGGCTCTGGTTTCCAAGCCAGGCTAGGCTCTGGTAACTCAGGTTGAGCAACCACCACTGCATGTCAAAGTCCCCAGGCTCTCCTGTTGTGCTCTAAGGCTGTTCCCGTAAGGGTGGCTATGGGTACTCCTCCTGTGTGGGAATCTGTGGGTTTCCTCTGGAACCGGCGCTGTGGGCTCATAGAATGTTGTTACTGGTCAGAGAGCACAAGTCCAGCTATGCCACACTCTAGAGAAACCATGTTCACAGATTCAAAGCTTAAAACGGGTGCAGGAAGTTAGTTCCCCATGACCGCAGGCACCTGGGAGAATCACTCCCATTGTCGCAGTCACCATGCTGTGGCAGATAGGCCATCAAACTCCGTCAGTATTGGAACAAGCAGCCACTGTGGAAGATGTGGAACCCTGTATCCCAGAAGCTTGGTGCAGAAGGGCAGGCTGTACCCAGTCCGTGAACTCTGGATAAACTCTGAGCACCGTGATAGGCTGGCACTGTCTTGAGTTTGAAGGTACAGTAAAGAATTTATTTTTTGGAAAATGCAGCTTAAGGAACTTTGTCACTGGCCAGACCTGGGTAAGGAGCACATGTCACTGGATCCATGGGCATGACAGGAAGACAGATGGGAGCTGTGCTTTCAGCAGGTGGGGAGAAGAGCGTGGCAGTGGAGCCAAGCAGGAGCCTAGGGAAAGTTCAGACCCAAGTGCACCTGGGATGGATGGGCAGAAGTCACTCTGGGTGAAAGAGGACCTGGAGAAGGGCACACTTGGGGAAGGATACAGCATGCCCAGGTAATACAAACTTGGGGAAACACACACCTTGGGAAAAGGGTCTGCCCAATGAAAGAACTCAGGGAGAGTAGGCTTAGAGGGCCTGGAAAACTCCAGAACAGCGAGCAGGGTACAGGTGCTGGACAGCAAGGTCTACATGAGAGTTAGGATGCATTGAGTCCTGTCCAGCTGAGTATGAAGCATTGCTTCTTCCTTCCCCCCTCCCGTTTACAGCTGTCACCGTCTGTTCTGACTATGGCAGCTGGCAGAGAGCCTCCTGCAGAGCAGATGCTCAGCCTGGGGCCCCACGGGGCTCTGTGCTGCTGTCTCCACCCTCTGGTTCTTTATGGCTCCTCCCAACTATGGTTCCCTGAATCCCCAGTGAGGCCTCCTACACCACTGCTTTGACATGCAGCTATGCAGCTCCTGTTCTTTGCTGTTCACCTGGCACCGCCCTCCCTACAACCTGCAGCCTGCAAGAATCCTGGTATTACTAAGCATTGTGGTGAACAGCTTCAATCCTATCGCTGGGGAGGTGGGATCTCTGAGTTCAAGGCCAGCTTGGTCTATATTGTGAGTTCCAGACCAGCCACTTCATAGTGAGACCATGTCTCAGAAAAAGCAAAGAAGAAGAAAAGGATACTGCCTGTGAGAGACATGTTCCGACTCCCCGAGGCTGGATACTGGCTCCTAGAATAGCCCCCGTGCACAGGGATGCTTGGTGAGTACCCCGATCTAGCATATCATCTCTAGGGGTCTGCGTGGGAGAGGACATGTGCACAGGCCCCCACCTGTGCCCCTCCTTCACCTTCCCTTAAGTTCCAGGGGGAAAGGAAGCCTCCTGCCCACCATACAGCCTCAGATATTCAGGGACCTCTTTTTCCCCCTCAGTGCATCCCTGGCACGTCCTGCTTGGCATGGTCCTGGGACCCTGACCAGGGCAATGCAGGAAGACAAACGGGAAAGCTGGGCTGGGGCAGCCTGTGCTTGCTCTGATGGAGGGCATCTGTTACCCAACCCAGACACTTAGTCTTTATTCTGTACAACAGCACAGAGGGATTAGGCAGTATCAGTAGGAGGTCTCTGTGGGGGAGCAGTCTCAGGTTGCAGTCGCCTAGAGACGAAATGCAGCTGCTAGTTTTTGCACAAACTGGTCAATAATTTGTAAATCATGGTACTTGGGCCAGAGGCAGATTTTGTCGCTCTTCTGAGCTTCTGGGTTTGAGACATTGGGGTCCTTGACATGGCTGTGCCCATGCTAATAACACACGTTCATTCAGGACTTCATCTGCTCCACACTCATCCCTTGCTAAAAATGCATGCCTGGGTCACCAACATCCAAAAAAAAAAACCCCAAAAAAACAAACAAAACCCCCAACACTAAACTAAAAATCCCTTCTTTTATTTTTGTCTTACATCTTATCTCCTCCCCCACCTTGGTTCAAACCTCTAACACAGACTCTTTCCCCCTTGGCTTTGGGAGAAGACTCAGAGTCAGGCCATTGTAATCTTACACACTGCGCACAATGGAGTTTTCATAGAGACAAGTAGCATCTGCAGACAAAGTCTTCCCTCCGTAGGCCAAGGTACCATTGCCTCGGCCAGTGCCACTTGTCAATGAGATGATTTATTCACTCCTGTAGAGGAAGGGGTGGTCAGGCCAGTCAGGTCCTACCTGGGGGTTGCTGGTGTCTCCTGGTAGGTCATCGCCCGTTTGGACTGGGCACTCAGGGCTTGGCAGCTGCCCACTGTCAGCTGTTCATGGGCAGGACTGAGGCAGCTTGCTCACTTGGCACCCACGTGGCTCTCCATTACCGCCACGTTTGGCACAGAGCTCAGGTGACTCGCTCACTTGGTGCTACATTTCCCCGCTACTTCCATCACTGGCATGTGCTTGAAGTCTCCCTTCCAGACCCGCCAGACCAGCCAGCCTTCGCTGCCATCTTGTCGCAAGCTCAGTGTTCCGTGACGTCGCGATGGCACAGGAGAAAACGTCCCATCCTTCAGAGGCAGTACCAAAATTTCAACTTTCCTGGAAATTTCCCAATACCCAAGGTCTGCCAATGAGCTCATCGTGGAGCCTCTCCCGGCCTCCCTGGATGGCTGTGCCAGGAGCTGGATGTACCCAGGGGTTGATGCTGTTTCCAGACATTTTTGTTATTGTGGCTGCAAGAGGGATCTATATTCATTTAAAGGGTGGTTGCTAGGATACACACATGCACGCACCCTGTGTGTACTGGTACCCTGTCAACGTTCACTGCTCTTATTGTGACTTGGGAATGCCTGCTGCTTCTCTGAGGGGGAGCTATACTTCTCTGCTCTGAGGACAGCAGCCCTTGGCTAGTGAACCATGGCCTTATGCAGTTCTGCAGTTCCTCTAGGTGTCTACTCCTGGTTTTTAAACCACTCCTAAATGCGGTGCTCTGAGCCTAGGCAGGTGGCTGAGGGAAGCTGCTTTTCCTTGGGTGACAGTCAGTGCCAGCTGGGACTGTCAATTAACTGGAGATAGCTGGATGTCTTGAGATAGCTGGGCTACTGTCACTAGGGGCCTCAGCAGACTCCTAACTCAGCCACTGTTAGGAGATCCAGGCAGGAGCTGTGGCCCCTTAGACCCTGGCCTTCCACCTTGATCCATTGGCCAAGCAAGTCATTAAGGGCAGAACCAGGAAGCAAGGCAGCAGGAACGGGGCTAAGGCGGGGAGGGAGCCACAACAGAGAGAGTCACCAGTGCTGGAATATCACACTGCCCGTGTGCAACAACTACGCTTCCAGTAAAAATAGAGATGAGACGACAAGAAGGCATGTCGATGCAGATGACAGTCTCCAAAAACGGCCACATGACGCTGTTATGCCGCTTGCTTTATTGCTGTGGTTTGGAACTAAGCCTGCAGTGTGGTAAAGGTCAGGCACATGAGTACTTGGTTTTCATAAGGCCTTGGCTAGGTCTTGGGTTTTTTTTTTTTTTTAATAATTTCAGTGCCCAAACGTTCTCCATTCTAGTTCTAGTCTCCCCAAATTCACAGTTCCCATCTCTCAGTGTCCCACTGGGAGGTGGGATATTTAAGGCTCCAGCTGACTTGCTGGTGCACATTAGCCCCTTGTTCCTCGGTTCCTCGATAGTCAGCAAAGCCAGAGGCATTTCCAGAAATGGTCACAGCACTTAGATGGGAAGGGACATCTTGCTTTGTCAGATGAGGTAGAGTAGGCACACTAAGCCATAATGGCCACTAGAGGGAGCCCTGGGCTCTCTGCCAGGTACTGATAGATTCAGGCCATGGTAAACAAATTGAGAATTTACATGTCATAACTGAGTCCTCCATTTTTTGTGGCATATTTTTATGTGCCATAGGTAGAATTATTTAGACTCTTTTAAATCAAATTACTGCACATCACCGCTGAATATAGGAAGCCAATTCATGGATCACAAACAGAAATCACCTGCACCGCCCACTCTCAGGCCAGCTGTGAACCACTGCTTACACGGACTTCAACCCTCCAAGCCCCCGGTTATCTGGAGTTTCTCTTTTGGCAACTTAAACATCCTGGGGCAAGTGTAGTGGTCCCCCTTGTATTTCTCAACAGCTTGCGGGAGCAGAGGCAGGAGGATGGTGAATTTGAGGGCAGCCTGGACTATATGGGACACATCCCCAGGAGTCTTCTTTCTATCCCTTACATCAGGACACCTCCAGCTGTGTTTTCCTCTTAGCACTTCTGTGCATTCCCAAAAGCTTGCATTTGAGGACCAAGTGGGCTACTTTCTCTCTCCCCAGTGCGTGGCTCCTGTCAGTCTGGGCTCCACACATTGCACATGTCCACCTTGTCTGAATGGCAGAATCCTACATCCAACCACACACCTGGCAATGCCATTTGGGGATCTGATTGGCAGCTCAGGTTTAGTTTAAGCATTTTGACACACAGCTCTCCGTTCTTGTAGCCTTAGCCCCGCGGCTTCCCTCTTCCCTGTGGAGGCGGCATTTATTCCTTGGTCCTCAGGTGTACAGAGATCATAGCTAGCCTATTGCTGCTTAGTGTCTTCTGCACAGCCTACTGTGCTGTGCTATGGTGACTGACATCCCTGAATCGCAGAGACTCGGAACAAATGTTTCCGTCCTGCTCATATTTATGTGGCCCTCCGCCTAGCTGGGTCTCTGTTTAGGTTGTCTTCACGCCAGAAGCAAAGCCGAAGAGCCAGTCCCTACTGAGCTGCCAGGTCATGGAGGGGAGGGCAAGAACAGTCAGTGGCAACCCCCTGCCAGCCCCTAAGCTTCCTCTGCAACAACGAGGACCAAGCCCAGGCAGGCAGCTGTGTTCTTATGACCCCCTGGGGACAACAGCACCCACCTTAGCTCTTCCTAGATGTGTCCGCAATGCTGCCGGAACGATCAGCATGGTTCCTCTGCTACTGCGGCTTCTCCCTGGACCTAGGGGCTAAAGGACTCAGGAGGGTCAGAAAGTATCACGACGGAGATGTTGTCACGGGTACTTTTAAATTGTTGTGACAAGACACGTTATCAAGGCAATTTGAGGAAAAAAAAGAGTTTGTTGGCAGAGGGTGAGTCCATGACCGTCATGGCAGGAGACATGGCAGCAGACAGATAGGAAAGCATGGTGCTGGAGCAGTAGCTGGGAGCTCACATGTGGAGGCAACAACTATGAGGGAGAGAGAGGGGGGGACAGACAGATAGACAGACAGACAGACAGACAGAAGAGAGCAAGTACTAACTGGGAATAGTATGGACTTTTTTGAAATTTAAAAGTCTATCCCTGCCGGGCGATGGTGGCACACACCTTTAATCCCAGCACTTGGGAGGCAGAGGCAGGCGGATCTCTGTGAGTCCAAGACCAGCCTGGTCTACAAGAGCTAGTTCCAGGACAGGCTCCAAAACCACAGAGAAACCCTGTCTCGAACCCCCCCCCCAAAAAAAAATCTATCCCTGTTACATGCATCTTCCAACAAGACCACACCTCTTAATCCTTCTCAAAAAATTTCACCAACTGGGGATAAAATATTCAAATGTATCAGCCAATTGGGGGCCCATTCCCATTCAAACCACATAGATGTATATACGTATCTGAAAAATATCAAAAAAGGGCTGGGGAGATGGCTCAGGGGTTAGGAGCAGTTGTTGCTCCTACAGATGCCCTGGGATTGATTCCCAGGATCCGCATTACAACTGTCTGTAACTACAATCTCAGGACATCTGAGGCTATCTTCTGGCCTCTACAGGTACCTGGTACTCACAAGGTGCACAGACATACATGCAGGCAAAATACTCATACACATTAAAACAAATAAAAACAACAATAACAACAAAACCCCTATAAAATGAGGATCACATGACCTGTAGCCCAGGCAAGTCCCTAGGGGGTGAGTCTGAGCCCACAGCTCTGGTGGAAGAAAGGGGTCACGAGAAAACCAAGCACACCAACAGAATTTCACCTCAAATTCCTGCCAGTAGGGTCTTGGTTTAAAAGCCCAGAGTGTACCATAGAGTACCACAGCTGTGTACAGCTCTCTAGGCAGCAAGGGAAGGCCTCTATAGCACAGACTATTTTTAAAAAGAAAAGCCTTCAGGCATGAAAAGAGCAGAGGGAAGGATATATACCTCCATTTGTTCCATTTTGTATTGCTCTAATGGTGTGAGAACCACACCAAGCCCATACGAGCTCCCATGGGAGCTCAGGAGGACGGGGTGAAAGTGGGGTGAATTTTTCAAGTGTCTTTTTTAGCATCTTGACTTTTGAACCATGTAAATGTATTACTTGTTCCTTCACCAGATGAATCAATTCTAAAGAGAAGGAAGGATAGCGTTTTGAGTGCACCCTCATCAGACTTGGAATCTGCAGCAAGGTACAGTCCCCATGACAGCCCACCTCCATATCTTCCCTCTGCCTTTTCTGTGTCCCTGCAGAGCAAGCCCTTCCCCAACACACACACACGTATGCGTACATGCACGTACCACAGACAACACACATGCACGGACACACACTCACAGGCACACCTGCATGCATGTGCGCACTCACACTTCACACACACACGTACACCACAGAAACCACACATACACTTCCAGGGCAGAATGGCACTGGGCTGAGATTGCCAGCCCCACAGGTCTTGGCAGAACCAAGCTGCAGGTCTACTTTGCATGGCAGGGGCGTCCTGCTCCCTGGCCACAGTCCTGGCATGGCAACTCTCCCAGGAAAGCAGAGACAAGGAGCTTTGTCCTGTCAAAAATGGGGAACACAAAGGCCCGGAAACATGGATTAAAAGGAGGGGGCACCTGTGTGGCCATTTGGCCTGCCTGAGGACCCCTGCCTGTGGTTCCCTGTCTGTTGCCAAGAAGCCTGTGGTCTCTCACCTGCCTGGACCCAGGGACCACAAGCCCCAGGGTGCAGAAAACTTTTGCTTTGCAGCCAAGTGCACACTGTCTTGACTCAAAAGAGCCATCCCCCGTCTCCAAGGAAATGGGCCTTCCTGCCCAGAGGCCCTAATGTCTGAAGGGATCAGGAGGGAGATGCCTAGTGGTTCTGGAAGGTTTCCACACGCCGTCCTCACCACTTACGAGGAGGAGAGTGCCGAGGAGGGACTCGGTGCAACCATCTCCCACAACTGTCCTCCCACAACTGTCCGTTCAAGTGTGACGGGACACTCGCACACACACTAGCTGTCAAGGCTGGGCGGGGAAATTAAACACACATGCACGCAGCCTCTTGCCCAGACCTTTGACACACTGTGGCACATCCAGGTCATCCTGCCACCCAAGGACTTCGGGCACAGAGCTTCGGCTGTGTGTTCCTTTTGAGTGTGGCCACTGTGCTGATCTTCCTGTCTGCTGACATACCCACTGCAGAGGTGAACCAGGCCTCCACCCTTCCTGTGTCCAGGGCCTTCCATTGGCCCTGTTAGCACCAATGCCACAGGTGGTCCCCTGAGCTCCCTGCACTCTGCACGAGACGCATATCTTCAGTGCCATCCTGGGAATCCGTGACGTCAGCAGCGTGTTCTTCACCACGCTCTGGTGACTTCCTCGTCTGTTTATCTGAGGTCTTCACCTTCTTTTTTTTTTTTTAATATTTATTTGTTATGTGTACAGTGTTCTGCCTGCATGTATGCCTGTACACTAGAAGAGGGCACCAGATCTCATTACAGATGGTTGTGAGCCACCATGTGGTTGCTGGGAATTGAACTTAGGACCTCTAGAAGAGCAGCCAGTGCTCTTAACCTCTGAGCCATCTCTCATTACAGACTTCTTGGAGTTGGTTGTTTGGTGGTCTGGTTTTTGGTCTCTGGAGAAAGGGTTTTGCTATATAGGCAAGCGGGTCCACCTGTGCAGCCCCCTGAGCGCTGTGATGTCAGGTGTATGGTGCGGTATCTGTCTTGGTTAGAAGTGCTTCCTGTGAGCTGTGACAATTTGTCTTTAAGTGATGTGGTTAGATTATCCACATATAAAGTTATTATTGATGCTGGGCATGGTGGTGCACGCCTTTAATGCTAGCAGTTGGGAGGCAGAGGCAGGTGGAACCCTAAGAGTTTGAGGCCAGCCTGGTCTACACAGAGAGTTCCGGGCCAATCAATCTGTGATGCATCACTGGACCCTACATATACAGAGGTTGTAATTATATAACTAGGTCAGTTCTGTTCTCCGATTCACTCTATTTTTCCTGCATTTTTTTGTTCAGTTAATATAACATTTGTTTTAGTCCATTTTCTCTTCTTTCACAGGATATCCGTATTTCTTAAATTAGTGACTGTCCTAGGAGTTGGACAATATCCTTTGCAACTATTTTAAAGGCACTGTGTTTTCTTGCAGTGCAAGATGAGACCCAGGGCCTGCGCGCCCCAGCCCCGAAGGTGCACAGTTCCTGCTCCTGCCTGCACCCAGGGTCTGCACCAGGCAAGGACTCTGCTGTGGAGCCGCCCCAGCCCCGAAGGTGCACAGTTCCCGCTCCTGCCTGCACCCAGGGTCTGCACCAGGCAAGGACTCTGCTGTGGAGCCGCCCCAGCCCCGAAGGTGCACAGTTCCTGCTCCTGCCTGCACCCAGGGTCTGCACCAGGCAAGGACTCTGCTGTGGAGCCGCCCCAGCCCCGAAGGTGCACAGTTCCCGCTCCTGCCTGCACCCAGGGTCTGCACCAGGCAAGGACTCTGCTGTGGAGCCGCCCCAGCCCCGAAGGTGCACAGTTCCTGCTCCTGCCTGCACCCAGGGTCTGCACCAGGCAAGGACTCTGCTGTGGAGCCGCCCCAGCCCCGAAGGTGCACAGTTCCCGCTCCTGCCTGCACCCAGGGTCTGCACCAGGCAAGGACTCTGCTGTGGAGCCGCCCCAGCCCCGAAGGTGCACAGTTCCTGCTCCTGCCTGCACCCAGGGTCTGCACCAGGCAAGGACTCTGCTGTGGAGCCGCCCCAGCCCCGAAGGTGCACAGTTCCTGCTCCTGCCTGCACCCAGGGTCTGCACCAGGCAAGGACTCTGCTGTGGAGCCGCCCCAGCTTTGAAGGTGCACAGTTCCCGCTCCTGCCTGCACCCATGGCAACGCTCCCATTGCTCTCACCTACTCACATGCGGTGATCACACAACCAGCAAAGCTGCCAGCCCAGTGAATAGGTGGTCACCCATCTGCTCAGGAGGGAGCGAGAACGTTAAACCCAGTAGTATCCCTTCATCTCGATCTCCAGCGCTTGCCCTGTTTTCAGCACAGGAGTTCCCGATCTATTTAATTTTCCTCAAGGAAGAACTTTGAACACTTTTTTTCCCTTTTAAGATTTATTTATCCTGATGGGGATATGCACAAACAACTGGCCTAAACTAATGGGAGCACGCTGACTCTGAACGGAGAGCAGGGGAACCTGCATAGGGCCAAACTAGGCTCTCTGAATGTGGGTGACAGGTGTGTGACCGAGGCAGTCTGTGGGACCCCTGGCCATGGGACCAGGATTTATCCCTAGTGCATAAGCTGGCTTTTTGGAGCCCATACTCTTCGGAGGGATACGTTGAAAATAAAATTTGAAAAAAGATTTGTTTATTTCATGTGATGGCTGTTTAGCCCAGGGTCCCCTGCAAGAGCAGCTTGTGCTCTTAACCACCGAGCCATCTCTCCAGTCCTTACCATTAGCATTTCCTGCAGGATGAATCTGTTTGCAATGCATTCTCTCAGCTTTTATCTGACAGAACCCTTTGCTGCTGAAAATAATTTTGTTTTACGTACAATTCAAGTCATGGTTTTGCTTTCAATGTTTTAAATATTTACCCACTCTCTTATTTTTCCTTAAAGATTTATTCTTTAATTACAAGTATGTTGTCTGCACCTGCGTTCGTATATGCCGGGAGAACACAGTGATCTCAGAAGCCAGAAGAGGATATTAGAACCACCCCCCCCCCACACACACACACTACAGGCAGTTGTGAAAATTCAGACATGGATGCTGGGAACCAAACCTCTGAAGAGCAATTTAGGATCCTAATCACTGAGCCATCTCTCCAGCCCCTACCCCCACTCTCTCCTTGCTCACACTGTCTCTGATGGAAAGTCGACAGTTGCTCCCCTTGTGGAGTAGTTTCTTCAGATTCTTCCTGGATTTTCTCTCTGGTTCTCTGATAAATATGGAATGGCCCCACGGGTGAGCTTTCGTATCCACTGCATTGCTGTCCCCTGAGATTCCTGGTTTCCTCTGGTGACTCCAGGGGGCTCCAGCTGCTGCTACTGGGAATGTGTCTCCCCTCCTCTTCCTGCATCTGCAGCATGCCCTACCAGGTGCGCTGTCTGAAGCTCCTCGCTATGGAGTTCTGCTAGTCTAATCTGTATTCTATTCCCTCTTCGGATCCATAGCTTCTGTTGACCTTTGGTCACATCTGGTCTGTGTTTTGCCCACTGAAGATGCCTGCCATTTAATGTTTTTAAACTTCCAGCATCTCGTTTTTGATGTTTATGACCCCTCCACATTGCTCCTTCTCTTGACTGCTGTCGGCTGCCTTCCGACAGGACCGCTACATCTTCAGCCTATTCCGGCTCCCTGTTCAGCCGCCTGAGTCATGTCCTGTCTGGGTATTTTCTTCGCCCTTCAGACTACTCTTTTTCCTTTAGGATATTTTGAAACTTTTTTGCTGGAACCCAGACATGAGGTATTGGTTAACAGGAGTGGAGTTGAATGTTAAATTTTATGTGATCCTGCCTGGAAACTGAGCTGTGTTTAACATTTGCTGAGTGTCTTAGTCAGTGTTCTATTGCTGTGAAGAGACACCGTGACCATGGCAACTCTTACAAAGGAAAACCTTTCATTGGGGTTGACTTAGAGGTTCAGAGATTTAGTTCATTATCATGGAGGCACGCGTGGTGCTGGAGAGGTGGCTGAGAGTTCTACATCTGGAGCAGCAGCAGCAGGAAGACAGTGACGCTGGGCCTAGCTTGAGTTTCTGAAACCTCAAAGCCCACCCCTAGTGACACCTTTTCTCCAACAAGGCCACACTTCCAACTAATGCTACTCTCTATAACCCTATGAGGGGCATTTTCATCCAACTCATCATACTGAGGATGCCGGTGGCTTCAATTTCTCTCTCTTTGTCTCTCTCTCTCCCCAAACATCTCAACGGTGTTTCTCTAAGTAGCCCTGACTTTTCTGGAACTCACTATGTAGACCAGGCTGGCCTTGAACTCACAGAGATCCTCCTGTCTCTGTCTCCCAAATGCTGAGATTAAGGGTGCGTGCCACCATACCTGGCTCCTCTCTGTTTTTTTGGATTCCTCCTTATCCTGTGTTTTTCTGAGGACTTTTAAAAAAAATCTATTTATTTATTATGTATACAGTATTCTCGGTATTTTGTCTGCATGTATGCCTGCAGGCCAGAAGAGGGCACCAGATCCCTTTACAGATGGTTGTGAGCCACCATGTGGTTGCCGGGAACTGAACTCTGGACCTTTGGAAGGGCAGGTAGCGCTCTTAACCACTGAGCCATCTCTCCAGCCCCTCTCTGAGGACTTATAATTTAGTGCATGCTTATGTGTGGGTGCACTTTGTGACAAGTGGGGGGCATGTAGGAGGTCAGAAGTCAATTTGTGGGAGTCAGTTCTCTCCTTCTGCTGTGTGGGTCTCAGGTAAGGAACTCTGATCATCAAACTCGACAGCAAGCACCTCTATCCACCGAGGCACTTCACTGCCCCATAGCACTTCTGAAACAGAGACTGTGTCTCACAGACCTTTCAGCTGTAACCCTGATCCCAGGCTGGAGCCTGTGTGTCGGGGGAGAAGGTTGGTACAGGAGACTTATATTCCTATAGCTGACTCTGTCTCCTGGGAAGTATTCCTGGGTGGTGGCCATCAGAGATATTTCTGAAAAATTCTGACCTCTCTCCCGCTTAGGCGAGATAGGAAGTCAGCTTTAGGGGCTGGAAGGCTGGCTTTATTCTGTACAAGACTACAGTCCGGCAAAGTCCCGGCAGAACTGGCTTCCGTTACGGAGAATGCACTAGGCAGCTTTATAAATGGCTACTATTCTCCTCCCTCTGTCGAAGGCACAAGACTGCGTTTGTTTTGTTGAGACATGCTCTTTTTTGTAGCCCAGATGCCTTGAACTTGTAATCCAGCCTCAGGCTCCCAAGCCCTGGATGTATAGGCCTTTTGCCACCATGCCAGGCCACAAGGTAAACATTTTTATGGCTCTTCACCACGAAAAACAGTGACCTTCCTGGACATCAAAGTGTGGGGATTTTACCCATGACTGTGACTTAGGAGCACCCCACCTTCATTTCCAGTGAACCTCAGAATGGCATGTGCTTCCAATGATCCACAGCCTCTGCCCAGGCTGAGCTGGCCTTGGCCATGTTTTCGCTGGTCCATGGTCTCCACCCAGGTTTCTGTTTCTGTTTCTCAGGACTGCAGTAACAGAATGCTGCAAACCAAACACTGGAAGCAGAAATGCGTGCACTTGAAATGCTGAAGCTGGAAGACAACAGAGGCAGCTGTGCACAGGACCTCGCTGCTTCTGAGACACGGGGAGAGACTCCATCTTCTCCCAGCTTCTGGTGGGATCGCGCACCTTGGCTGGCCTGGCTAGCCGTTGTGACCTCCTGGGCACTGCCTCCATTGTCACACAGAAAGCTCTGCCACCCTGCCCCGGGCTCTGTTCTGTGTCTCTTCTTTTTCCACAAAGGCACCTTTCACCGTGGGTAGATGACCCAACTCTGCTTCAATGCCACCTCATCTTAAATAATTTAAATAACTCTATATTCAGTTCTGTTCTTTCCCACGAGGCCCTGTGCTGAGGTGCTGGGTACTAGTTCCTCTAGCATAGCCTTGGGTGGGGGTGCTAATTCTGCATCACTCCTTACCCACCTGTCTCTTCAGATTTCAGGGCCATGGCTTGACCTCTCACCTACATCCTCAGTTCTTAGAGAACTGGAGGAAACACAACATTGCTTGCTTTGTGCACTGTAGAAAGCAGGCAATGACCTCTGAGCTCTTAATTCATGGAAGCAGAAGACAGGTGGCAATTGCAGGGCACAGTCTGATTCAGCTCCTTACTTCATAAACTCTGAGTCCCAGGTGGAGCCATCATGGAAGTCCACTATGTGGCACCAACCCCCACACACTTGACACCTGCTGTCTACCTTTCACACCTGGTCTTCCTCCCAGCCCCCCAAAGCTGAGGACCGAACCCAGAGCCTTGTGCTTGCTAGGCAAGCGCTCTACTACTGAACTAAATCCCCAACCCCTACACCTGGTCTTTTACCAAGCACATTTGGGGCTGGCTGGAATCGGTCCAGATACTTCTCTGCATACAGCCGTGGTCACTGCTGAGGTCTTACACACCCTGGCATTTACCCAGTGTAAGCCAACCACGGTGGCAGAGTGCGATGATCAAGAAAAGTAAATGAGATCTGAGTTATGTCAATTCCTTCATTTCATGTGACTCATTATTAGGGGATTGGTATTTAAAAATTAAAAATGGTGAAACTGTTCCGCCAAGTACAGGATGTAAGGTCTTTGTTAAATGCAAATTTTAGTCCATTTACGGACCTTATTACCAAACTTGTAAACTAAGTTTCATATTGATATTTGCCATTTTATGCTGTTTTAAAAGGGGGCCAGAATGGTTGTTCAGTAGCTAAGAGCACTTGCTGCTCTTGCACTAGGCCGGGTTCAATTCCCAGCACTCACACTGAATAGCCCATAATTGCCCAAATTCCAGCTCTTACTCCCCCTCCTGGACTCCATAGACACCTGCACTCACATGCACATATGTCCACACAGATACACACACACACACACACACACACACACACACACACACACACACTAAGCATAATATGTCTTGCCGGGCAGTGGTGGCACACTCCTTCTATCCCAACACTTGGGAGGTAGAGGCAGGCAGTTCCCTGTGTTTGGAGGCCAGCCTGGTCTACAGAGCAAGTTCCAGGACAGCCAGGACTACACAAAGAAACCCCAAAGAAACCCCGTTTCAAAAAACAATTTCAAAACAATCAAACAAAAAGTATTTTAAAAATTGTTTCTAAGGTAAAGAAAAATCATGAAAAACCAATATTACAGAAAAAGTTTTACCTCCTGGTATAGTCAAACTGTGTTTATTAAATCACTGATAGGAATCTTGTCTGACTTTGATAAAGTTAGACTGAGAAAAAGCAAGACTAGAAGCTGAGAGGCGGAGGAGGAGGAGGCAGCAGGTGACTGACAGGTGTCACCAAAAGCAGGATTTCTTAGTCTTCACCGGCATGTGATTCTTCTGCCCAGGAGGTTTTTACATGGCCCCAGGAACGTGAATACACAAGAGATGTGCAAATCAAACACAGCCTGGTAACAAATGGTAAACACATCTTTTGAAGTGATTCCTTGGTGCGCATGAAATCTCACCATTTATTGAAGATTAAAGCAGATAAGCACATTAATGAGATGGCAAACTTGTCTGCTTTTAAACAACTAAATCTTGGCTGTCTATGTGAGGGTGCAGGGCGCAGAGCGATTTTCAGAGTTGATTTTGATTTTATAATCACTAGTGTTGAGATTGCCATTTTGCATGAACACATACAGCAACTTGGCAGACAGACATGTGTTTAGAGCCGCCTCAGACCTGAATGAACACTGTCATAATCTCCAGCCAAATTTTGTTAATGAATTTTCATAAACTCGAGTCATCCATGCGAATAGCCACTTTAAAAGACAAACACTTGAGGCTGGAGAG